TCCGTCTGTCTGGCCCCGCCCACAGCTCGGTCCATCCAGCCCCCAATACACACCCGTCCAGCCGTCTGTCCGTCCAACCATCTGTCCATCTGGCCCCACCATCCAATATATACCTGTCCGTCCGCCTGTCTGTCCAACCATTTGTCTTTCTGTCCCCGCCCACAGCTGGGTCCATCCACCACCCAATATACACTCGTCTGTCCGTCTAACCATCCGTCTGTCCATTCGTCCCCACCCACAGCTCACTCCATCCACCACCCAATATACACGTGTCCGTCCATTTGTCCATCCAACCATCCATCTGTTCGTCCTTTCCCTCCTCAGAGTCCGTATCATCTGTCCATCCCCGCCCCACAGCTAGGTCTGTACATCTGTCCGTCAGTCCCCACCCCCCAGCTCAGTCCATACATCCGTCTGTCCGTCCATCTGTCCATCCATCTGTTCCCGCCCCACATATTGGTCCATACATCGGTCTATCTGTCCGTCCGTCCCCACCTCACATATTGGTCCATCTACCATCCAATATACACCCATCCATCTCCCTCTGTCCACTACACTGCCGATACACATCCATCCATCTCCCCACTACAGATCAGTCTGTCCATCAGCCCATGAAGCACCCACTATAAACATTGGTCCATCCACCACCCAATTATCCATCCATCCTCACTCCCATGTTGGTCCATCCACCACCCAATGTACATCCATCTGTCTGTCTATCTGTCCAGACACAAAACCTTGCCATCCATCCAATCCCTATATACATTGGTCAATCCATCCATCCCCCCCACTTGCTGTCCTAAGTTGTCTTGCGGGAGAAGGCGTGCTAAACAACTGCTTGGCTTCTCCCACCCTAGAGGTGACTGTATTTAAGGCTGGTGGAGCAAACTTGGGCTAAAGCGCTGCCCACTCCCAGCCCAAAGAAACAAGGACCATCGCTGTGCGGCTGAAGAATAAAAAGCTGCCACTTTTCACCCCAGAGGAGGCTGCATCTCAGGGTTGGCTGAGGGATCCCTGTATAAACAGCTGCTGCACCCAACCCCAGAGGTGGCTGCATCTCGGTGCTCAGCGAGCAATCTCTCTGTGCCACTGGTTAAGTGCTTTGGGATCCTCCAGAGTCTCTTGCCCTGTTCACACAGAACAGTTCCCCCAAGAAAGACAGCCAGGCCAGGGCAGAAAGACGTCCTAAAAGACCTTCGTCTGCCTGGACTGGGAACTATGGAGCCCAAGAAAAAGGCAGGATTAGTCAGTACCCAGGCCTGGTGCTGCGAGCTTCCCTACAGCAGTGTCCTGTCAGTGCCAAGCGGGAATGCTGTGAGCTTCCTTACAACAGTGCCCAGGAAATCCCCCCAAGAAAGACAGCCAGGCCAGGGCAGAAAGACGTCCTAAAAGACCTTCGTCTGCCTGGACTGGGAACTATGGAGCCCAAGAAAAAGGCAGGATTAGTCAGTACCCAGGCCTGGTGCTGCGAGCTTCCCTACAGCAGTGTCCTGTCAGTGCCAAGCGGGAATGCTGTGAGCTTCCTTACAACAGTGCCCAGGAAATCCGGAACTGTGGCAGCTGGTGCCCCTGGGCAAGTAGGATTGCATTCCCAGCCCCTCCCCCACTCCTACAGCCATCCCCACTCCCCTCCCAGTCCCTTAGGGCGGATTTCACAGCTCAGCAGCTGCCCCCCATCCCCTCCCCAGACAGCCTCTCCTGGCTTCAAGGCAGCCGGGTCCTTGCAGTCCCCCCCC